TCTTGGGTTAACAACCCAGGGGCAGAGGAGGGAAGTGCTCTGTGACTTTTCTGTCCTGTGGCCCCCCAGGCCTTCAACGTGATCAATGGTGGCTCTCATGCTGGGAATAAGCTGGCCATGCAGGAGTTTATGATCCTTCCAGTGGGTGCTGAGAGTTTTCGCGATGCCATGCGACTTGGGGCGGAGGTCTACCACACACTCAAGGGGGTCATCAAGGACAAATATGGCAAGGATGCCACCAATGTGGGAGATGAAGGTGGCTTTGCCCCCAACATCCTGGAGAACAGTGAAGGTGAGGCCAGGAGCCCTACTCCCTGCTTTAAGTCTTGCTCTGTCCTTGGACATCAGGAAGGGCCACACAGCTCCCCAGATCCTGAGGGGTATGGGTGGGAGGCCCTTGAGCCAGCTCAAAGAGGAACCCATACTGGGAGTGGGTCCCAGAGGGCCTGCCACATTTACAGGCAGGCCTAAGAGGACAGTCTTCACCTGTCCAGCCAGATCTGTTAGCAACTGTAAGTTCTTACTGGAGCCCCTGGGAATGCTGGGAGGTGGTCTAAGTGACTTGGAGGATCCATCCTGGACTTGAACTTTGTAGGATTCTCAGTTTGATGAGATATACTCTACTGTAGGGATTCAATTCTGAGTCTGTCCCATTTCTACCCCCAACCTCTCAGGTCTCTAAGATCCCTAATTTTTCTCTGCTGTGGGAGGAGCTATATAGTGAATAGAAACAATAACAGGAAGGGGCGCCTGGGTGGCCAGTTGAGTGTCTGACTCTTGATTTCAACTCGGGTTATGATCTCAGAGCTGTGGGATCGAGCCCTGCTTTGGGCTCTGTGCTGAGTGTGGAGCCTGCTTAAGATTTGCTCTCTGTTTCTTTCTGCCCTCCCCACTCTCAACTTAAAAAAACAAAACAAAACAAAACAAAACAAAACAATAACAGGAAGTGGCTAAGAGTTCAGGTTCTGGGGTCAAATTGCCTGGATTTGAACCTTGACTTAAGAGTTACTGGCTAGTGATCTTTCTTACTCAACTTCTCTGTGCTTGTCTTTCTTGCCTGTAAAATGGGAACAACAACAGTATCTCCCTCTTAGCACCATTGTACTTAGGTGACATAACCCATACTAAATGATAGCTATTGACAAAAAAACCTGTTACAAACAGAATTCCATTCCTCTGTCCTCTTAGAAGATGGTCTGCTCTTCCCAGACCTGGGACGACCCTAACAACAATTGTAGCCAGGCTTCTTCCCAGCACCAGTCCTGTGCCTCGGCTCTGAATTTCTTTCTTTTTCACATTCCTCTTTGCCCACCCTTCCTGCTGGTGATCCCACTATATTCCATCCCCAGCCTTGGAGTTGGTGAAGGAAGCCATCGACAAGGCTGGCTACACAGAAAAGATTGTCATTGGCATGGACGTCGCTGCCTCGGAGTTTCATCGCGATGGCAAATATGACTTGGACTTTAAGTCTCCTGCTGATCCCTCGCGATACATCACTGGGGACCAGCTGGGGGCCCTCTACCAGGATTTTGTCAGGGACTATCCTGGTGAGAACAAGGGCTATGGGAGGGAGGGCAGCGCAAGGGTCAAGGGGCAGGCGGGGATGCGTGGGGCAGCCTGGGACCTTGTGGGGCACTGACTTAGGTGCCAGGTGGAGGTGTCCTAAGCAGAGCCAGAGAACCAGGACAGGGGCCAAAGAGCCTTCTGCAGGGGCTGGCTTTGTATGTAATGTAAATGTGCAGGTACCTATGGTGAATCTGTTTCATCTGCTTCCGGTCCTGATTAAAGTCGTGTGTCCCGCAGTGGCTGGGATCACGGGGAGGGCTTTGGAAGGAACCAGTCATGGTGAGAGGGTGACTGGGCCCAGCAGGGAGCTTGTACCTATCAGTGTTTTTGACGGATGAAGTTGTGGATACTGAGTGGAGCTGGAAGCGCTGTGGGGGTAGGATGGGAAGGCTGAGGAGGAGCTGAACTACCCTCTCCAAACCCACTAAAGGCTGTGACTCCTGCAGGGAGGAGGCTGGTTTGTGTTTCCCTGAGACAGAGCAAGACATAAATGCAAAATGAGGGATTTAGAATAGCACAGAGGGAAAGCTTCCTGGCAATGAAGGTGGGAAGATGCAAAGGTGGTTATGAGAAAGATCCCGAACGCTTGTTTTTTGGAAGGTGTTCAGAAGGTGTCGGGCGTGATCGCATAGTGGTTAGTGCTCCTCGTTGTGTGGAAGGTTTTCAGAAAGAATCTAGGTAAGTGTCAGGGCAGGCTTATTTCGGAGGCAGGGAAGCAAGGATGAGCAAGGGGCTAACTAACCCCTAAGTTAGCCAGGGGATGTATCCATTTCAGGGAATCACAGGGTGGCTGTTCCTGCCTGATGCAAGCCCCAGGGAGGGTCAGCGGCCCCTCTGCTCTCCCTGCAGTGGTCTCCATCGAGGACCCCTTTGACCAGGACGATTGGGCCGCCTGGTCGAAGTTCACAGCCAATGTAGGGATCCAGATCGTGGGCGATGACCTGACAGTGACCAACCCAAAGCGTATCGAGCGGGCAGTGGAGGAAAAGGCCTGCAACTGTCTGCTGCTCAAGGTCAACCAGATCGGCTCAGTCACGGAAGCCATTCAAGCGTGAGTGTCCCCTGGCTCTCCCCTACCCGGCCCCTGTTTCTACAGGATGCCTCTGGCAAGTGCTCCCAGCCTCGTCCTGGCATAGATGCTGAGGAGAGCGGGGAACCTGCAGTCACCTTCCCAGCTCTTCCGGCTCTGCCCCCTCCACCCCATGCCCTGTGCCCCTCCCAGAGAGCTTCCTGCCAGGTGGTTTTTTTTTTTTT